GATACTGATACCGTAAGCATACCCTCCTCCTCTACTCTGACTCTCCGCGACCTCTTTCTTCTGATTTTCAGTGATCAGTTCATACAATCTATACAGACTGGTTCCAAAAACATTAGAACATAACAACAAATTCATTGTTTAGATTTGCAGTTATTCCCACGATTGCTTCAGATGTTTAAGGGATTCATTTCTACCTTATAGAAACACCGCAATTTTCTCTTACGCCCGATAAAATTGGCTTCGGAGGATGATCGAGACTGGTTGCTTTCAAGCGCATTTATATTCATCAATTAACCTTATGTACGCTTATGGCATAGAAAATGTATGCCATACGCCAATGACATGCAAATAGATATGCAAATTAGATAACCGGAAGTAGGAATGTTTCTGTAAGATTGTTTGCTTGTTTCTTTGTTTCTTTGTTTGTATGTTTAAAATACAACAACTACCATTTCCCAAAGGTTTGCATCATCTTGACTTACTGTACCTGCATATTTCTATACCTTCTCCTGGAAGTCACATCAAGGCGGAACAGCATTACCTTCTGTCGCGATATCAGGTTAAGTCGTAGGTTGACATCACTGGTGAAAGTCGTTGGTATCGACTTACGGTAATACGACTCTAGGCATATACAGGTCACATACTACCGATAGAAGTAACATCTATTTCACAAATTATTCGTTCAACAAACGCAAATTCGTTCCTGAAAAATATTTATAATTTGTTTTAGTGTATTATCAACGGAAATATGTTATCCATTTTTATCAGTAGGAGTGAGTGAGTTTAGTTTTACGCGGCTTTTAGCAATATTCCAGCAATTTCACGACGGGGGACACAACAATTGGGCTACACACATGTGGGGAGTCGAACCCGGGTCTTTGTCGTGATGAGTGAACGCTTTAACCACTAGGCTACCCCACTGTCCCTTTATTAGTAGGAAGACACAGGTGTTAACACATGTAAGCTTCACAATATACAGACACTGAAATCTTTACACAGGAACTCTTTAAAAAAAAATAACCTCTTTAAAATACCATATATAATAGTGATAAAGTTACGACATTAATAAGACATAAATTCCTAATTTGTTGTTTCTACACTATCAGACTGATTATGAAACCATGAAGAAATGTCATCACATTTTAACTGCAAAGAACGGAACCTTAGAGAAAGTGACTGGGCTCCGTCTTCTCAAAAGCGTAAACGGGCGGTGTTTCGTAGTCTGCAATTAAATGACATTTGACATAAAAGTAACTGTTCCAGTTATTGCTGGAAAAACAAATTGCTGATTACAGGACGTTTGTTTTTCCACAAAATAAACACCCGCTCCAGAAGAATATATTTTAACGCCCTAAACAAACTTTTGAGTCGGTTCATGTTTATCTACACCCAGTACTTTATTTTTTCCAAATTGTGCTAGCCAGTCGGGCTTACTATGCCTGAAAGTTATTAGCCCACAAAATAATTCACTAGCCCGAAATGAAAATTCACTAGCCAGTCTAGCCCGACTGGATTTTTACTGGCCATGGGCTAGCGGGCCAATGGCTATTTCGCACACTGTCTACACCCGCTACCTATGCGCATCTATGATCGGACATGGTACAAAGTCGTACCACGTGTTTTGGCCCATTCGTCACCACTCGCCCCTTTCCGTAACCGTCCAATCGCTATTCGGCTTGTCCCGGAATAACACGAGTTGGTCACGAATGGTTTTGGCCCCTAGCTATAGTCTGTTTGCAGTGAAAACGTACCGATGAATTTCACTCTAAACAAAAAAGGTAAATCGAATAAAGTGAAATTAAGATTGCGAATCCTCATAATTTTACCTTGCCAATTGAACATTCAAATCTCAGAATTTTATTCAACTTAGGATAAAAGTTGTTTAACAAACGATCATAGTTTCAAATCGCTATTATTGGTTTGCATTACAAGGGGGTATGCACTTTATATGAAACACCGTGATCAAGCAGTGTTAGTTTAAGTTAACGCTCATCACGTACCGCACGTGCATTTTTTTCACTGTTCGATCTACTGCGCTCACCCCCTTGTAATACACACCAATAATAACGATTTCAGTCTATGATCGTTTGTTAAACAACTTTTATCCTAAGTTAAATAAAATTCTGGGACTTACATTTCCAATTGGCAAGGTAAAATTATGAGGACTCGCAATCTTAATTTCACTTTATTTGGTTTAGTTTTTTTGTTGAAAGTGAAATTCATCGGTACGTTTTCACTGCAAACAGACTATTGCTGCATGTCGGCTATTTAAAGGCGCCAAGCTTGCTGCAAGTGACCAAGATACTGAATCTATTTCCCTAATGTCCGTGAAACTGAGAAGCTGTCTCCGTCTTCTTGGGTAATAATTACTGTTATTTACCTGCACCTAAGTGATATATATCATAAAGTGTCAATCTGTAGACAAACGAAGTACGTTTGTATTACATCAGATATACTTGCCTGGACGATCATATGAGACGGGTCGCGGGTGTTTCTAAGCATGCTACGGTGATCATGAAAAGCACAACATGCACACACAATCGATAAAGCATGCAATATTCTTATCAGGGTTGAGATCCATGGACAAATGCTAGTGATATTGTCTGAAGGGTACACTGGACGATGCCTGATGAATATGCTTTGGTTCGAATCCAGTGGGAGCAACGTGTGAAGGCAAATCTGGTGTTTGCGAAATGATATTGCTGGAGTTATGGCTGTCTAAAAAGATCCATAATCTGAGGGGAAGAATTATCAGAGGTTGTCGATATGAAAACTGTGTCATCGATAATACCATACTTAAACTAATGAAATGAAAAAATAGTATTTTTTTAATTCACACACTTAACATGATAAAGTTGTGTCTTTATTCAAAGGGCGCTTCTTAAGTATGCTCATGGTGCTATATACGTTGGTAATCAGTGAATAATTGTGCTAATACTCACTAGTGAAGTTCATATCTTGATTTCTTTTTGATTTTAAAAACAATGACCCAAAAGTACTCCTCCGATATATATCGATAATCGATATTAAGTTCATATGTATAGCCAGGATACCACCACCCCATTTCTCTCTCTCTCTCTCTCTCTCTCTCTCTCTCTCTCTCTCTCTCTCTCTCTCTCTCTCTCTCTCTCTCTCTCTCTCTCTCTCTCTCTCTCTCTCTCTCTCTCTCTCGCCCTCACTCACTACATATTGTCGAAGAGATTCACTCTTGTGCTTGGGGTAATCATACGAGGTGTAGTCTAGAGTGTGCCGTGTATATAGTGTATATCTTGTGATCTGTTGCAACTTCCTGTTTTGAAAGAGATTCTTTCAGGCACGACCTGCTATCAGATATCGTCATGTATCAGCTGATGATGCCTTTCAAGATAAATACGCTGTGAGAACAGACGGGGCCATTTTACTTGGAGACATATAATTTTATTATCACAGGAGACGTTCACAAAATTTGCCTTTTTGTTCTGATGTTTGAAACATAAAAGGAATGCTGAATGTGTTTGAGGTTTTCCTGCTTGACTGAACAACACGAGTTAGAATTACCCATCCGTGTCCGCCAATTTATTAAACAAGCAAGAGTAGCCTTAAACTTTATATGTTTTCGTTTTTTAATTATATTTTTGCTACTCAAGCAATTATCAATCCTATCAATACATGACCCAGTAATGTTCCGAGTAACATCTGTAGTAATCTCCTATTTCGAACGCGTGGTTGTGATTACTTGAAGCCGGCGACGAGAAAACCAACGGACGGTTATTAGTGTACGGCGCTCTCAGGTAGACTGGTAAGCTTGGCATAGATGCGCTGCGCACGCTTAACAATTTGGCACCTGTCTTTAAGTCACTTTGCATCGGAAAAGAATTTTCAACAAAATTTAATCTAGCTGAAGAAAGCCCAATCTGTTCTGTGTTTTATGAGTGAGCAATGGTAGGAGTATTTATATTATCTCATCGGACCATTAATTTCCTAAGCAGTGATGAAAATAAGAAAACTTCTTTTTAAATATATGAAATCGAAATGAAAATTCATGGCAGACGGGGAGCGATGGGGTAGCCTAGTGGTTAAAGCGTCATCTTATCACGCTGAAGATCCGGGTTCGATTCCCCACATGGGTACACTGTGTGAAACCCATTTCTGGTGTCACCCACCGTGACATTGCTGACCAGAATAATGCTAAAAAAGGCGAAATAACATGCTCACTCACTCTTGGCGGGCGGGAGATAGGTAACGCGCACACATGCACACGCACATACGGACAATATTCTTGTTTCGTAGTTTGGGTCAATTTACATTCAAACATTCAGCCATATTGTTCGGGTCTATTTAAACCTTCTGACGGTGGGCGAATACAACTAAACTGTCTTCTACAACTGAGTCAGTGTATATTGTTTTACGCCGGCATATATCTCTGGGTCAGTGTATATTGTTTTACGCCGGCATATATCTCTGGGTCAGTGTATATTGTTTTACGCCGGCATATATCTCTGGGTCAGTGTATATTGTTTTACGCCGGCATATATCTCTGGGTCAGTTTATATTGTTTTACGCCGGCATATATCTCTGGGTCAATGTATATTGTTTTACGCCGGCATATATCTCTGGGTCAGTGTATATTGTTTTACGCCGCCATATATCTCTGGGTCAGACGATACAGAACACCTCACAAGGAAAGCTCTGTTTTTCATATTCTCTGTTCATTCATTTGCAGTCGTTGGTCTGTCGGTGCCAAGCCCATGCTAGTCCTTGAACAAGGAAATACATATATGCGCGGCTTCAGCCTTTCTTCACATGATTTTAATGAAATACGTTTCACGTCTCGTCACCTCACGTCACCTCACCTCAAAACCCACCCCCCAACCCTCCCACCTCACCTCACCTCACCTCACCTCACTTTTAAACTCCGGTTTGATTCACAAGTTGTTGAGAACATTGTTGCGATCCTATTATTTTAGTCATTTCTATAGAAATTAATACTGACAATAAAAGACAACTTCTTTTGTTTGCAGGATGACGCTTGTGTGGAGACCATTACCAGAGTGCCCAAGAAAGGTACAGTCTGTTACAGTCTTATGTTACTTGTTATCGAGAAATGGGTTTTATACATTGTAGCCATGAACCTGGATCTTCAGCCAAGACGAGTGAAAACTTGGACCACAAGGCTACCCAACCGCCCAGAGTTATGTAATGAATGGAATCGACGATCGTTTTCGAGTGGATAAAAGCTTAGGACAGTCATTACATCTGAACTTATTTGAACGTAAGGCGATGTTTAATAACATTCCAGTCACTAGTGCAATGACGGGAGTGCAAGAAATATAAGTTTGGTATAAGCCAACTATTTCAGCTATATTGCGTCGGTCTATAAATAATTTAATCTGGCCCAGACAATCCAGTGATCAACATCATGAGCATTGATCTACGCAATTTGCATCCGATGACATGTGTCAACCAAGTCAGCGAGCCTGACCAGCCGATCCCGTTAGGTGCCTCTTACGACAAGTATGGGTTGATGTAGTCCAATTCTAACCCGGATCTTCACGGGTGCAAGAAACTCAAGAAATATAAACCATATGATGACGAATCTGTGCCTGTTTGACCTTGTCTAAATCATTGTGTTTACTGTCTGTGTGAATTTTCCTCATAGCTAATATCAATGTGAGGAATTTTGGATGGATTTTGACAAGTATCTTATTTCCCCACATAACAGATATCCATATTAGGGAAGGGAGGGGTGTTTGAGGTTGGTGGGGTGGGGGGATCTTTTATTTCATTGGTGGAACAAGACAAGGATATTTTCACATCCAGGAAAATATGTTCCATTGCTGGCGGTTTCAATATAACTTCCTTCCAAAAGTAAGTTATTAGACAGATTCGACGGAAGAAAAGTCAATGAATTCAGTGCACACGGTGTAAAGTTTATGTACACATCACTAGAACTTTCCTCATGACTTCAGGTCATTGGCTCTCATGGTTTATTATGTATCAAAAACTGTTTCTATATTCAATATTTACTGTACCAAAAGGCATCCATCAATGACATATTCACTCCCAGTTCTACATCCTGCCACAGAATACAAAAGAATTGGCCTGGTCGTAATGGCATCAGGTGGTCAGGCTCGCTGACCTGGTTGACAATCACAGTCCAGACCCGTGAAGATCCGGGTCAGAATTGGCCTTCAGCAACCCATGCTTGTTGTAAGAGGCGAAAGGGGTGGTCAGACTCGCTGACTTGGTTGACACATGTCATCGTATCCCAATTGCGTAGATCGATGCTCATGATGTTGATCACTGGATTGTCGGGTCCAGACGATATTATTTACAGACAGCCACCATATAGCTGGAATATTGCTGAGTTAAATACCAAACAAACCAAACCTCCTGGATGCCCAACAAAAGCAGGACAACATTACATTCTGTCGTCATGTTTCTCTCAAAGAGGACATCGTTAGGGTTATCAGGTCAAGTGGTATCTTGACATCAAGGTGATAGTAGTTGTTATCGATTTAAGGTAATACGATCTTTTAGGCTGCTTAAGCTTATGCAATACTTAAAGCCAAACACACTTGTTAAACAGTTCATATGGAGTTTTTGTTCAAGCCTTAACTGTTATTTCTGTTACTCGGATATCTATAACCATATACAGAGAGTGAACAATGTTTCTGACTGATGTTTTGGAGTGAATGTATGAAAGAGTAGAACAAGATGGTGAAACTACCTTGCAAGGACGTTAGTCTACAATTTTCATCTAAACATTTTAGAATTTGGGAAGTACAATATTGAACAAACTCTATGGATAGCAACTTCTTTTATTTCGCGAGTGCGACGTTTCGATACAGATATTTGCCAAGCGGGAATGTGACAACGGTAGAAGAACCTGTATCGAAACGTCGCACTCGCGAAATAAATAAGTTGTTCAATATATAGGTCATTCCCAGGCATGGTGAGTTCGCTCGACTTCAGCGTCAAATACTTTCTATCTGGAGTATTTTCATTTGGAAATCCTGCAGTGTGTGGTGTTTAGCCCACTGTTTCAGTTACACGGCAATATTCAAGCAATATCACTGCGGGGACATCAGAAATGGGTTTCACACATGTGTAGAATAGAACCCGGGTCGTCTTAGCGACGAGCGAACGTTTTAATCACTTGACTACCCCACGGCCTGGCAGGATCCTGTCTAAAAAGTAACGCTTCACGTCGACCATCGCCGACAACACTATGGAACGTTTAGCAAACCACCGCTCACGCTAGTCTTAGCTTGTTACGTTTGTCTACCCGGTTTTTAACACCGCACTCAGTAATAGGTAAGCTATATGGCGGCGGCCTGTAACTAGTTCGGAACAGACAATCCAGTGACTGATATGATGAGCATCAGTCCACATAGCTACAAGTACATGCTTCGACAAAGTCAACAGCCGTCCGATCCTTTTACCTCCCTCGTACGACAAGAATAGGATCCCTGAGGCCTGGGACATTTTAGTCCGCCAAACGGTATCCACAAGTATATGCTTCTGTAATGACGAAAGTGATTGATAGAATCTATGTTGAATTACACACTGAATGAATGGGTGCAAGTCCATGAATGAGGCGTTGATAGTTAGGAGACATCCGACCAATCGTGCCTTAGCGGTCATGTCTTATGGCTTGGCAATGCCTTGACGTCGCCCTGGAGTCACGGAACGTCTATAGGTTAGACAACTGCCGTCAATCCGGACATTTGGAAGTTCGGTTTATGAGGATTCCACTGTACCTGATTCTGTTTGTTTTCCAGCGTGCCGCCAACTAGGGAGGTCGCCGAGATCGTCACCAAGAATCCCTCCCAAACAACATTTCACAGTCCGTCAGAAAAGGACCTTCCTGGAGATCACTTTGTCACGTGACAGGGAACCAGGTATATATGAACGCTGTCTGAAATAAACGTGCAGGTTTCGTTTTTACCCTTTTCCTATTTTTAATAATTTCGGCATTTTGGTATAACCCGGTATGAAATATAAGATTTCATCCAGAACTAATGACTATGAATGATTTAAGTGATTGTATATTTTCGTTTTTACCCAGTTCCAAAGTTTATCATCATATGACAGATTCAGCTATAGTATCATTTTAAGAGTGAACGGCTTACGGAATCTCAGTATCTGAGATTGAGCAAATCATTCACAACCGGATCATCATTAAGGAAATATGCACCGATGTCACTATGAGGCACTACGGCACTGCACATCGCTATTCTGCGTTGCGTCCCTTAGACGTTCAAGGAATCGCTGGCCGATACCTACCCTTCGTTTTGAAGGCTTGCCGGGTCAGCCGGTTAGCCTAGTGGTTGAAGTGTTTGCTCGTCACGCCGAAGACCCAGATTCGATTCCCCACATGGGTACACTGCGTGAAGCCCATTTCTGGTGTCCCCCCGTCGTGATGTTGCTGCGGTATTGCAAGAATCGGCGTACTCACTCACTCACTCACTCCGGAGGCGGCGAGGTGTAACCACGTTACACGTCTTCATTTTACTTTCCACAAATCTCACCTTGTTGTGACCAAAACCTTCCTCGGCGGCATTGACACCGACACAGTATTAATAGACACACAGGCTGGCTAAACTACCCAACTCCAAATATTTTGTTGTTCATGACTGCACATAATCTTGCAGGTTCGGTGTTGTTGCTGACGGTACCAGCACGGGGAGGCCGTCAATGCTTCAACATCACGACCCCAGGAAACCAGGTACTGCGTGACTGTTGTTGTCGGGCGGTGGGGTAGCCTAGTGGTTAAAGCGGTCGCTCGTTATGCCGACGACAAGGGTTCGATTCCCAACATGGGTACAATGTGTGAAGCACATTTCTGGTGTCCCCCGCCTTGATATTGCTGGAATATTGCTAAAAGCGGCGTAAAACCAAACTCACTCACACACAGATGGTGGCGACTTTAAGCCACCCACTAAGATCCGGGTTAAAATTAGTCTTCATCAACCCATGTTGGGTGGCCTTATAACAGCATATGAAACTAAAAATGTTTAAACACACCCGCATTTGGTACAAGATGTGTTACCCGTGTTTGTCGTAAGAGGCGACTAACGGGATCGGGTGGTCTGACTCGCTGACTTGGTTGACACATGTCATCGTATCCCAATTGCGTAGATTGATGCTCATAATGTTGATCACTGGATTGTCTGATCCAGACTTGATTACCGTCAGATAGCAGCAATATTGTTGAGTGCAGCGTTAAATAACAACAAAACAGTTAGTGAACCCGTGGGTGGATGAGTGAGTGAGTGAGTGAGTGAGTGATGCAGCTATACGATCTTAAACTGCTGGTAAGAAAAGGGGTGATTTGGGCCATTCGTTCTCGGACTCTCTATGAGCCTTAAGTCTTGACAAAAATGCTTTCTTCGTCAAACTTGAAAGCATTTGTCTCAAATCACAAAAATAGCTGCCAGCCCATTGTCCCAGAGTTCATACGTCGATTCTGGTAGTACCAGTACCGTGAAACCGGGCGAAAAGAACTATAATTATCACAGTAACTCTATACATCATGAATTCGTCAATGTTAAACATATATTATACCTGGTCTTGTCTCTGCAGACATACACCGTCAACGACGGCAGGGCGAGGACGAGGCTTAAATGCAGTGGTGTTCGAATCACGAAGAAAGGGACAAAGATCAAACTGTACGATCTCACAAATCGCAAGATTCTCGGCTCACGGCTGGTGCAAAAGAAACAGGAGACGTTGAGAACTACCCAAGGGCCTCCAGCCGAGGGGGGTTGAAAGTAAGTGCGACTTGGGTGCAAGACTTCAGTACATGAAGATACGCCCCTGAGCTACGATGAGCCGAGGTATATATTTGTATATCGCTTTATCGCGTTCTTGTTATATTGGGCGAGGTTTCGGAGTAGATTTCTACACTGTTATCAAGCTTAACTAATTACTTCCTTCACTATTGGTAGCCTAATGGTTAAAGCGTCCGCTCGTCACGCTGAAGACCCGGGTTCGATTCCCCACATGGGTAAAATGTGTGAAGCACATATCTGGTGTCCCCCGGCGTGATATTGCTGGAATATTGCTAAAAGTGGCCTAAAAACATACTCACTCACTCCATATCTCTCGTTTCCTCACAAGAATAATGTCTCTTTTACAAAGATGGCTCCCGCCATCCCCGGACAGCCTGTACCTGTTTGATTCCTGATGTTGTCTACCTGAAACCCGAGTGTGTGTTCCCCGGAAACTACACCATGACTGTCAGCTGGGCGCCGTTCTACAACAGCAGCGACCTGAGAGTAGGCATCGTACCCGAGGGCGGCAGCGACGTGTTCGTGACGAATGGTCACCGGAAGCTGCCAAGGTGGAAGGTGGGCGTGGTCTTTGTCAAATGTCGAGTTACTTTAGTTAGACATGGAATAGGCAATTCTAGTATGTATATACATGCATCACAGTCACTGTGGAGCAATGTATACTACCCATCAAAAGTTGAGACTTGCTTAAATCAATCACTATAAGTTATGTATGTACATGTGGTTACAACGAAGATGAATTTCTCCACTAACTTGGGGGAAACATCTGCAAACCTTATGCAGATTAATTGCACGAGGATCATGCATCAAATTGCTGAAAAGCATGTGCAAATATCGTGCATGTGAACAGTTGCATTTTGGTGTAAAGTTTTGATAAAAAATCGCCATTTTTCACCGAGTTTCATCATTTATTGAACACATGACAATAAACCTTTCAACTTCACGAATTTGTCTTACAATACATCAGCTCATGTATAAACAGTACCTTTAAACTGTATGGATTATTTTACAAAATCTAGTTCAGAACAGTTGACTGAAGTAAGTGGCTACATTTACACTAGTGAGTCTAAACTTTTGATGGGGAGTATATATAAAGTCCTTGAACCGTAATATTTTCCTTTGTTGCCTGGCCCTTTCTGCAGTGCCAAAGCCATAAATGAAGCGAGGTTCTGAATCTCCATTCTCGCTGCATCCTCAATAATCTCCAGGGTATACCTTCCGATAAATCTCCACTAAGTACCCTGGATGCATCTACGGCTCGGACCGATAATTGTATTACCCCGTTCGATGTGTCTTTTGCAGCTTTTGACTCAAAGACTTCAGGAAGAGACATTTACGGACTTGAAACTGGAATCCAGATCCAAATACATTGGATTGGTAAGTTTTTTCTGTGAAATCCACATCTGTTCGATCCCTGACCGTAAGCGGTTAACATACAGTTAATACAAGAATTTAAAGGTTCCGGTTCACTAACACTTTGAGCGAGGGAAAAACCAGAGGCCTTTTCCCAGAGCTAGACCTTCCACATGTGCCTCTACTTAACAAACGTTTTCATAGCATCTCATGAGCCGTCTCAGTGCCAGTAAAACGGATTTCTTTTTACAAAATCGGGAAAACGTACGTTGAAATAACAGGAGACAGGCGAATGTTCGGTGACAGCAGTCGAAAGTGGGTGGGTGAGCGAGTATGGTTTTACGCTGCTTTTAGCAATATTCCAGCAATATCACGGCGGGGGCACCAGAAATGGGCTTTACATATTGTACCGATGTGGGTAATCGAACCCCCGTCTTCGGCGTGACGAGCGACCGCTTTAACCACTAGGCTACCCCACCGCCCCGACAGTATCCGTGAGTGCAGCATGCTTAATGTAAACATCCCTGTTGTTCTGTTTCAGGTTGGGTCCCTAGGTTGCAACTCGTGCATGCGCTACAAGGAGAGTGAAGCTTTGCGTGTGCAGTGTTCGAACGAAGGTAGAATTATGATTTTATTCGTGGTTACAGTTGCTTAGGGTAGTTAAGGTGACGAACCAGCGGCATTGGTGTCAGTTCTAATCCCGGTTATCTGGTGCCCAGGTGTCAGTTCTTTGTCTGGTGCCCAAGTGTCAGTTCTAATCCCGATCGTCTGGTGCCCAGGTGTCAGTTCTTTGTCTGGTTCCCAGGTGTCAGTTCTAATCCCGATCGTCTGGTGCCCAGGTGTCAGTTCTAATCCCGATCGTCTGGTGCCCAGGTGTCAGTTCTAATCCCGATGGTTTGGTGCCCAGGTGTCAGTTCTAATCCCGATGGTCTGGTGCCCAGGTGTCAGTTCTAATCCCGATCGTCTGGTGCCCAGGTGTCAGTTCTAATCCCGATGGTCTGGTTCCCAGGTGTCAGTTCTAATACCGATCGTCTGGTGCCCAGGTGTCAGTTCTAATCCCGATGGTCTGGTTCCCAGGTGTCAGTTCTAATACCGATCGTCTGGTGCCCAGGTGTCAGTTCTAATCCCGATGGTCTGGTTCCCAGGTGTCAGTTCTAATCCCGATTATCTGGTGCCCAGGTGTCAGTCGGTACCCAACAGTGATGGCGATGTAATGAGTTCAGTTACCTGGAGACTAGAACATTTATTTTCATTTTAGAACGTGATGCCAACAGGCCGTTAGGAAGCTGCTTAGGTAGTAAGGAAGGTAGAAACACGTCAAATAACTCTGATAACGTACCACTACAAGTGCAATATCAGTGTACCATGATCAGTAGTATAGTCCCTGCCTATGTCTCCTGTGTTCTGTGTCAGGTCCAGCACCGTCCGATCCTCCACCTGCAATAGACATGAAAGCGACGACGTCTACATCTAACCCACCTATGGTGGTCTATGCTGTTATTGGAGTCGGGGCCTTTGCGTTCATCGGAGTGCTGGCTTTAGGGGTGTTCTTGCTGAAAATGCGACGTGAGTAGATATCTATTTGATTGTTAAGTAGCTTTAGAAAACATTGTCTGTTCTTACCCTACACGGTTAGAGTTAGTGAGTGAGTATGGTTTAACGCCGCTTGTAGCAATATTCCAGCAATATCACGGCGACGACACCCGAAATGTTAAGAGTTAATTGTCACTTGTAACTGTTAAGTTACTGAAAGAACATATTTCATTGTTTCCCAGTAGTTATAAGTGGCAGAATCTGAGCACGTGTACAGTGCTCAGGTAATGCAACATTAACAATTGAATCTGTTTCCGTGGATCGTCAAACCCGGTTATCTTCTTGCGGGGACGTCTTTATGTCAGTGATACTTGGTCTGTAAATCCTTTAATATAGGAGGATTTATTGGGCAACCTGAAATTCTAGCGCTTTTGGATTTTATAATGCGTTAGGCTGCATACGTAATCGGAAAAATGGAAATATTTTAATTTAGACGAGTATATTTCAGATATTTTGTATTTATGAGAATAACATCTGAGCAGAAATACAAGAGCTATTTTCTGTGCGATATGCAAATATCCCAATACCTCGGTTACACGTTAACAAAGACCCTAGAAATCAAGCTAATATGACTTTAAACATTGAACAGTGATCATAAACAATGAACTTCCTTGTCAATGAAATTACCGAATTTTTAGCTTCAATACAGCATTATACACGGGTACCCGTGAAGATCCGCGTTAGAATTGGTCTTGAGCAACCCATGGGTGGTCAGGCTCGCTAACTTGGTTGACACATGTCATCATATCCCTGTTGTGTAGAACGATGCTCATGCTGTTGATCACTGGATTGTCTAGTACAGACTAGATTGGTTACAGATCCCCGCCATATTGCTAGGTGTTAAACAAATGCACAAACAAACAAAAACAGTATATCCGGCGTTACCTTTCCGTCACATTTATTAGGTTGAAACGGTCCGTATGACTAAATGTTGATTAAGCACATTATCACTGTATTATCGTTTTGTGTTTCTTTTAGATGGGAAGCGTTATGGACCTCTGCCTGCATCCGATAGTTCTGCGTCCCTCGCAACTGTCGCTCAAGTGTCGGTGGTCAGGTCATCGGATGTTGATGACGTTGTCAGAGCAACCGAAAATTTGGTTTCGCAACTGCAGCAACGCGGGAAGACAACGGTGTCTACGCTGGTGTCTGATGTGACGGAGGTGTCGATCTCAGCTAGTGACCTCATCTTCCACGTCACATCCGGTAATGAATCGTTACCGACATGTCTGAAACAACTGACATCCAAAACAGTGACCGTTGTTCTCCGTGGCAACAGGAAGCCTGACGTTGTTGTGCCACGTGACTTCCGGTTCGGGGACCTGCTGAACAACCAGATGGCCCCTGGACGTAGCCTTCACCTTGATGATTTTCTGAACAAGCTTGGGCCAGCTCACATTGATGTTGGTGAGTCGGAATCTACCTTAGGGCCGTAAGGATCCGGGTTAGAATTGTTCTTCAGCAACCCATGCTTGTCGTAAGAGGCGACCAACGGGATCGGGTAGTTAGGCTCGCTGACCTGGTGGACACATGCCATCGTATCACAATTGGGTGGATCGATACTCATGCTGTTGATCACTGGATTGTCTGGTCAAGACTCGATTGTTTACAAACCGCCTTCATTCAGCTGAACCGTTGCTGAGTGCGGCGTTAACAACAAACAAGTAAACAAGGGACCGTCTTTCATGTTATCAATGATCCCGTGTTGAATCCTGAAAATATTGCCGCATGCGTCCCATAATTCAAAGGAAAAGTAATTTAAGCTTAGATGCTACTCTGCAGACAGATATTCTTCGTCTGCATCAGTGACAGACAAAAGGCAGCACACATTTCAGATTGTTAAATGTATGTTTGTCTTCTGTTAAAGGCCCATCTAAAGTGAGAGCGCTGTTGCTGTCCTGTGACTCGGGAGAGTACGATTCACCACATCGGGAGGCCACGGGGGAGCTTGTAAAACTGTTGAGGGAACACCTCGCCATTACAGTCGTGGATCCACAGGAGACAAAACATCTTCAGGAACTGAGGAACATGGGAACTAACAGATGGGCCAGGGAAAAGATCGCAGCTAGTAACATAGTCATTGTTGTCCCGTCCAAGGACTTTGCAGGCGTTCATACAGGGGACATGAATCTCAACAACAACGAAAGAATTGTTCGAGATGCTATTGTTTGTCTGAAACAGAGTTCCCCTGGACCGACTCCAGATGTGTGTGTTGTGACGTTTGGGTACTGGGCTGAACATGTTGAGAGTGTACGAATGCATTTCCCAGCCAGTCGAACGTTCAATCTGGTTGAGACTGACACTGACGACCCGTCTGAAGTAAGACACAATCTCAAACCCTTCTTCTCATTCCTGTGCCCCGACGTGACTTTGGTTGAGCGCGCGTGTCGTGGGGGACAGGGCTTCCTTTTCAGCGCTGATCGGATGTCTGATTTTGTGCGTGGAGCTCCAGACGTCTTGGAGAACATGGTTTGAGCGCCTTGAGTGTACCGGATACAGGCGCTTTAAAAAATGTCCATTATTATAATCATCATATCATGTGCAATGGAGATGGGGAAATCCTGCATTGTAGTTAGGTCGGCCTGTTATATTCACCAGCGTACGGAGAAATATAAATTAATGACCCCTATAAGTGGTCTGGGTGAAGCTGCAACATTGTGGAGACCGTCCAATCAGTTTTAGTCCTTCAGCCTTAACTGTGGCGCTTTTTGCGATTTAATTCGAACGAGTATGGTTGTATATGATGAAAGTCCGATACATGCTATGTGTATCCTTTGACCTAACAAGATCTAACTTTCAAAGTTTGTAATGCAAAATTAAAATTTGTCCCTTCAGTGTTCATTTTATGACAGGAGAGTGAGTCAGTGAGATGTATTCATTTTTATCCAAGAGTCTAACGGGACAAGTATTCTGTGTTGTTACACTTAGAGTAAACATCAGGTACATTCATTTCAGGACCATTTTTTCGAAATGTCTCCCAGACGCAATTGTCAACTGTCGATGAACTGTACAAATGTCTTATATCTATTTGTATCATATACAAACATACTCGGGCGAATTAAATCGCTAAAATTGGCCTGTGGCCCAAATTGAGGCTGGCGGAATTACAAAAACCTTCCACTTGATCACGAGATGTGGAAAACCTTTCATCTGATCACGAGATGTGGAAAACCTTCCATCTGATCACGAGATAGGGAAAACCTTCCACCTGATCAGGAGATGTGGAAAACCTCCACCTGAGCACCTGGTGTGTAGCCCAGGTTTACTTATACAGTATTATAATAATAATGTCTATTTATATTGCGCCGGGTTCCACCCACAGAGGTGCGTGCTCAAGGCGCTACAATAGTCACAGATGAGAGGTTCACGGGAGGAGAGAGTTCGTGGGGATAGAACTTTCTGAAGAGAAAGGTTTTTAGGTTGGTATTAAGACCCTATACCTCAGGATGATATGGATACATTGTACATAAACTACCGGGTAAAATATAATATACAATCATGTCTGATGGTGGCTACAAACGAGGCAGCAAATGGTTATTCAAAGGTAAAGTTTTTCATATTGGTGTCATTGTTGAGTTTAAACATAAACTATCTGTTTCTGTGTCATTGATTTCATCCTAATTCTGTTGATGACGTTTGCAGTTGTTTGGTCGAATTTTTGTTTGTGCCCCTGTCAAATGCTTTCTTCATGTTATGTTTTATTTTGCCCGGCAGTTTATTTTAACTTGAATTAGTTTGGCACGTTTTGTAAAGTAGAGTGTGTTGTGTTCCAAACATTGCCTGCTAAGAAACCTTTAGTGTACTAGTACATATTTTGTTTCTAGGCCTTGTATACGGCTGATCATTGGTAGATAACACCCTGTAATCGCTTTATCAGCCCAACTTATGTCACATCGTCGCTGAAGTTCCATGCAGATATAACAGACACATTGGGGTGGGGAGGTGGAATGGGGTATGAAACTGGTTATTGGAAAAGGGAGATAACTGGGGTCGGGATGTGTCAGTGGAGATAGTTGGAAGCCTGAGGGTAGGGATGAGTGTGTGGTGTGGTGAAGGAGGGTGATGGGTGGGGATGGGTTGGGGCGGCGTAGTTTCGCTGTAGTTGAGAGTGCGGGTGGAAAAGGCTGGGAGAGAGCACGGGGGAGGGGTTTCTGTATGAAATCGCGACGGTGTCGAAGGGGAAGGGTACCGAGGAGTTGTGTTGGTCGTTGGGGAGGGAGGGAGTTGGGGTGGGATCTGGGTAGTCTACACCAAGAGCTATCTTCATGTTATTTAATTGTAAGCTAGACTTGCCAACTGTTATAGACTCGGAATAAGACGTTAGTGTTTCAGAGTTCTGTACAACAGGCTCGGAGAAGAGGGATGGAGGGGTCTGAGTTGGTTGGTTGTTGTTTAACGCCGCACTCAGCAATATTTCACCTTTATGGCGGCGGTTTGTAAATAATCGAGCCTGGACCAGACAGTCCAGTGATCAACAGCATGAACATCGATCTACGCAATTGGGATACGATGACATGTGTCAACCAAGTCAGCGAGCCTGACCTCCCGATCCCAGTCACCTCTTACAAGGTTGCTGAAGACCAATTCTAACCCGGATTCTGACGGATCGAAGGGGGTTGAGAGTAAATGGTAAGAGATGGCTGGGTAAGTTGCCAACTGGAAAGGTTGATATGACTGTTGATTTCATTAATAATGCACATTTAAACTTCCATGTTTCTTATTTGTGTTATTTCATGATCATGTTACGTTTATGCTTATCCGTACAGGTAATTTATCCTCACTGGAAATGTTCACGCATAACACTACTTTACTGTATATATTTACTCCATTCTTTCATTTCCTTCACACTTACGCACGCACACACACACGCACAAACACACACACACTCACACGCACCCTCACACACAAACACGCTTTTTTACTGGAAAATTGTATTCCCTCTCTAGTATCCTCGCTCTAACAAAAACCACATACACACATGCACAAACGTACACACGCACACTATACAACCCAGCCGGACCACACAATCCCACCACACAATAATTAATCTTCGGGAGAAGGTCTTTCAAACATATGACATAACACAAACTTGTTTGATCTGATCGGACTTGTTATTGAGGACTTTAGTGACGGATCCATTTTTGACGGCGTTTGATGAACAGAAAAGCACATACGATGTCTACACTGTGTACTCGATCTGCATTGAAATATATTTTGAAACATATGGTTTGTGTGTGTGTTTTAACAAAACAATAATATATGTACGGTGTTATGAATATGTTTACATCGTGACAACAGCTCTCAATAAATCTGATTACAATTTACAACGCCTGCACGGACACAATCGTCGCCATCACATACTGAACACAGCCGCAATATTCAGTCCCCTGTCTCACCCACACAAGGGGCGGTGGGGTAGCCCAGTGGTTAAAGCGTTCGTCGTCACGCCGAAGACACGGGTTCGATTCCTCACATGGGTACAATGTGTGAAGCCCTTTTCTGGTGTCCCCCGTCGTGATATTGCTGGAATATTGCTTAAAGCGGCGTAAAACTAAACTCACTCAGTCACATCCACACCCAGCGGTTGTTACACTGTAACCCCTGTGCACCAGAGCTGAATAACGCTATCTATACGGGTGGTATGCAGTGCTGCTGTTGCATCGTGCAAGTTTGCATTTGGGTCATGTGTCCTGACGAAAAACCTCGAGAAATCACAACGAGAAACTCAAACAATATGACCCAGTACTGAAGCAACAGAAGAACCCTATCGATAACAGGAAACGAGTCTCGGTAAAACCGGTGAGAACCTGGTGACCTGACAGTTGGTGCTTTGATAACACAATACACCGACACAAGGGTGTCACCTACATGAAAACAGAGCCCAACGCAGTGAAATAGACATATACTCACGGAAACGAATAAGGGAACACATGAAACTACAAGTATTCCTTTATTTATTCCCAGAATTTCACCCACAGTGCAATGTATACCTTGTCAAGAAACCTGGAAAAAATATAAAGGAACACTTGTACTTCCATGTGTTCCCTCATTCGTTTCCATGAGTATATATATATAATATATATATATATACTCATGCCTTAACGGTTGAGACCCCCTCCCCACCCCAACCCCACACACACCTCACACCCCACCACACCCCTCTCCAATTAAAAAATTGAAGGGGTGACAACCATTATTGGCATGAAAATATATCTGTCCCTGAGATAAAGGTATCGGAGAACAGGTGTAAATTTTCACATAAATTAAGGGGCTTGGACCTAAAATAAACTGTAAAAAAAAATCCGCCCGCCTGACCCATATATATTTGAAATAGTGATGAGAAACAAGAATATTTTATGTGGCCTAAAAAAACAATAAAAAACAATGGAAGGAACTGACGTCGTAACGTACGTGGGATTGCTTTAGGAATGCATTTTAAACATTTTTCCTGCATCCCCAATTTCATGTAGCAGTATACCATGCCCCCCCCCGTAATACATACTGGGCTTTTACAAAACCATTCACCCTTCCACCCCCACCTCCTATCTTCATTCCACCCCACTCCCTAACCCCAACCTTCACACGCCCACGTATAGCACATGACCAGTCTATTGTTATTATTCTGATTAATGACATTGTGATATTTATCTGAAAAAAAAAATATAACTGCCAATTTGTTCCCCGACCCCATCTAATGAATCGGTGTTGTGTACGACAAATGCACTTTCCCACCAAACATGTGCGGACCTGTATAACACTGATAGGGTTGCCCCGTCGAGGACAGCATACATTCCGTCTTTTATATCAACCAACTACTTCAACCCACCATATTATTTCGTTAGATCGTGCAACGTGTTTATTGTCGTGGGGATGTGAAGGAAAACCTACCCTCTGTTCATATGCAAACAGGTCAATATATCTTCTTCATCTGGGCTTGCTATTGACAATATGCCTGTACGAGTTATCGTTCTTTAATTGTCAAATTCGTCACCACTCGCCTCTTTGCGCAACTTGTGAAAAGACTCATCGCCCGATCTAAGCACATGCGAAAGAGCGACAAACCAATGACAACCAATCAAGGCGTAAGGGTGAGTGAGTGAGTTTAGTTTTACGCCGCACTCAGCAATATTCCACCTACATGGCGGCGGTCCGTAAATATCGAGTCTGGACCAGACAATCCAGTGATCGATCCACACAATTGGCATACGATGACATGTGTCAACCAAGTCAGTGAGCATAACCGCCAATTCCGTTAGCCGCCTCTTACGACTATCACGAGTTACTGAAGATCAATTCTAAGCCGGATCTTCACGGGTCTGGGCGTGAGGATTAAGGTACATGGATACAAATAATTCTGAGGACATAAATCTGTCATTTAAGAAATACAGTTCGCTCTACCCCCATTACATGTATAGTGTAATAAAGTACACTTTTGCCCTGAACTATTATAGTTAAAGTAGATCTACGAAGACGCCTGTTCTAAGATGCTCGCTGAAAGATCAAAGGCGCCGACAGTACTTTATGAAACTTGTACACTTTTTGCATTACGTCACACTATATTGACGTCATTGCGTCATTCTAGTCTGCTCCCCTCGTAATCAAACGTACCCTTGGTAACCGACGTCGCGATGCAGTTGTCATCGCCTCCTACAGTAAAACTGACTCCGTAGCACCCCGTTTCTTGGTTCACAGTTGCTTCAGTCGGCTAACAAGCGTCCTAGCGAAGCATCTTAGAATTCTTTTTCATACCAAAACAATCTAAATACTTACAAGGGGCTACAATGTAAATAACGTTACAAGCTGGTTTAGACAACATCTTTGAACGTCCTTTAGAGTGAGTGTGTTTAGTTTGACGCCGTTTTTAAGCAATATTTCAGCAATATCACGGCTGGGGACACCAGGAATGGGCTTCACACATTGTACCCATGTGGGGAATCGAACCCGGGTCTTCGGCGTGACGAGCGAACGCTTTAACTACTTGCAATTGATTACCGGAACGTCATTTAGAATTTCTCGTTCAACTTAGTATGTAACACGAGTTCTGATTGGGTTAATGCTATAAATTTCCGACCGTATAATCAGCATATACGGTCGCAATTTGAAAACCGATTCACCAAACCATTTGAATGTATCCCTACACTGTAGGGGTAACGCTGTTTTTCAGGGCATTATCATTTGCAGAAGCCCTAGGTCAATTAACTCCCCTATCCCGCTAAAATGGATGGATTTGTGTTAAAAAAGACAAAACAGTATCATAAATTTAATTGTAAGTTCAAAAAACTCGCAACGGGCTGTTCACCCAACACTGTTAGATCTTGAAACAAGATTTATGACGTCATTATGGAGCATGACGTCACCTGCTGTGACGTCATTTGACATCAGAATTGAAAATGACCCGTAGTTGAGGAATCAGCGGGCCATTATTATTTGCAGCGGCCTACTCATTTCTGAGACTAGAGGGCGGTTTCATGATAATTCCGTCCATTATAGCTATAACACTATAATTTATTCATCATTGTCAGATTTAGTCAGTGTGCACATAATAAACGTGTTGGAAGTTTGAAAAGGGAACTACTTTTTCTGGCGATGGTGTAATTAAACGAGTTGAATTAGAATGGGGATAACTGTACTGTGTTTGACGAGTTGGGGACGTATACCGTGGATATACATGTATAGCTGCAAATTTAACTCTTGTTTTATAATTGACATGAAGTGGATATCTTCCACATTCCGCTGAAACAGCTTTGAATTTTGCCATAAAAAATCTTAAGGAATGTATCTGGGTAAAGAGATTGAAATCGATGTTTATATTCATGTATATTGTATGTGTAATGTTATTTATATCAGATACTTTTTTAATAATGTTATGAAATGCAATTCGCATAAATGTTATTTTGTCTGGAGAGACATTAATATAGGCTTTTAGCTTGTTTGCCGATATGTTTAAACCGAACATTCATATTACAAACACACACACACACACTTACATACATCTTAAAGATGTAGATACAGACTATAGCCCTTGAACAAAGGCTCTCGCTTCAGTGGCTAATGCTAATTACCTGGCTCGCATCTCTCACCTAGCCATAGTGCAATGTTGTCTTAACAAGACCTTTTTGGTTAGACTCTGGCTAAGTTAGCGTGAACCAGGTGGATGTGGAGAACACCTCTCTAAACCCCCTATGTTTGATTATGAAACAATAATACGTTGCTTTATCCCGCATTCAAATTTATCTGTTCTTTTGTTTTTTAAAAATGATATAGCTTACATAATTATACCTGAATACCGTGCTACTTTGCGTTACAAATAAATGTGTGTAGGCTTGCGGTAAAGTAATTTTACTTAAGGTTTGATTTTTTTAGGTTGTTTTACTAACGATGATGTCGTATGTTGACCACAACCAATTTAAACTAATTGTATATTAAACATCTAGAGTTTCATGATAAACAGAATCTATACATAAAGCTATTCCACACCTGCTGATTCCGGTTTATGTGTACCCGTAATTGCTTTGGTCCACCAAAAATATGTAAACAGAAATATCCCACATTAACTACAGATCAGGCAATGAGTAATGCAATATATGAATCTATTTTATAAACTATGTTAAATCGAAGCTACATGTGCAGTGTATGAAAGACAAACACACGCACGCAGACATACAAAGATACAGTTCTTTATTAAAAAAAAGCAATAAATGCTGACAGAACTGGCCAAAGGAAATTATAGGATTATCTTTAAAAAAGGTTTTCGAAAGAGGAAGTTGCTAATTTGATTTGATTTAAAACCTTTTGTTTTTTGTTGTTGTTTGGTCGTTTGTTGTTGTTTTTGTAGGTTTTTTATGGGTTTTATTTTTGTTTATTATTTGTTTGAATGTTTTGTTTGGGTGGGTGGTGGACTTTTTACAGCTGAAATTTCTTTTGTTATTGACTTTTCCAGCAGACAAATCCATTTGAGATTCTTAATTTACTTAATTTATACAGACACATTCTTACTGTAAAGTCTTTTCAACTTTCAAACTGTTTCTTTAAAAATACATGTTTGGAAATAAAAACAACTTACAGCAGAGAATAATTTCGTATGACAGTGTCGCACGAGCTATTCGGCTTGTCCCCAACGGCACGAGTTGGCGTGGTACTCAATCGATTAACAACTGTTCAAATTAATCTGAGCTGGGTTAAAGCGCACGGATACTGAAAAGCCACTTCGAACATGTCACAGGTAAAAATAGAAAGACAAAAATCCTGTTATTTGAAAACGAGGTTGGATGTATTTGGGCGATGCATTTGTTAATACTGGAGTTGGACAATTTGTTTTAAAGTGCTAGTGTCTCCATTATTTTTTAAATATTTTATCATATTCATGTTGAAAATAGTTTATAAAACAACACAAAATATGGTATTACACGTTTCTGAACAAATAATAGATAGACACAATGCCAAGAACAATGTTTATACAACAAACCATGCCACTACTCAAGCTCACAAACGCAGCAATTACAGCATGTTCTAAAAATAGCCCGCTCAGCGTATTGCACCACGAGATGAAAACAGTCGCCGAATACTATAAAACAGACAACATCCATTGACAATTCAGTTGATTAGCTGGCAGGGTCCTTGCCTGTGTTTGTGAGTAGTCATTATGGTGCTAAAGTCGTCCAAACACGGAGTTTACTCCGGGAACACACTGCGGGCGTCCAATTCACGTTATAACAGACAGTACCGCACTCACAGTTCAATAGTGAGGCGATATGTCGGGGGAACGGAGAACAGAAAACTCCAAATTGAAAAGCTGATTGAGAGCTTCGATGTTCCAGGTTTCGATGTTGAATTCTCGCTCAACAAAAGAGAAAGATGGGTTTTGCCTGAAGTCATCAGAAAATACATCCAGTCCCGAGAGTCGCCTGAAGACACTACAAAAACAGATTTATTTCTGAGGCACAAGCTGAAACGACAATCTAACTGCACAGCTTACTACGCCGATAAAGGGCATATAAAACGACTTGTTCCGAAAGCGGGACGATATTTTAGTGGGAAGTCGGTAACAAATTTCAAAACACGTCCACAACAAGCGAAGAGGCATAAGAAGACAGTTACCGACATTGAGGAAACACTTCAACCCGGTACTGATGAATCAACAGTAAGATATGAGATATTCTGTCCGTGTTCCCCCAGAAGCTCAATTGTCCATAACCCAAAGTATATCAAACCAGAGGCTAGAGACAGTGTCAGCACTTCTGTGAATGGAGGGAGGAAGAAGAAGCGACGATCTCGTCTAACTAGGCGAGATGTGAACGAGATGTTAGATGACAGTTGCGAGGACTTTGATGTTCAGAGCGCAGACGACTCTGACACTGGAGACGTGATATCTAGTGGGAACTTTACACTGAGAGACTTCATCAAAGTTGAACGTAAAATGAAGCGAAAATCTCGCACGCAACGACCTAGCCATGGAGACAATGACAGTGTATGTAAGAGAGGTCGCATTGTGTTTGTTGATAAAGATGTGTCGTCTGCTGGCTCAGTGACAACAGAAGATGAACAATATTCGCAGAGCGAGAATTCCCCTTCTGTCTGCCTCAAGGACCCAACAATAGTTATTCCCGTTCCTGTGAAAATTGATTTAAATGAGGCTGCCTTTGATAACCTGCAAACTGTGTACGGTCGGCGTTATATCGAGGCAAAATGTGAACCCCGCAAGTTTAGTATTGATATGACTGACAAATTTAGAGATCATGTTAGAACGTCGAAATTCTTCAGGGACGTGACGTCATCATCGTTGGATCTCCATGGTTACCTTTCGTTTACAGAGGTCGAATGTCGGGATGATGTCACTCTAAGAATCTACAAAGTTGCCCTGAACATTGCCTCTCGAATGAACTCTATCAAGCTGGACACAGTCTTGGAGATGGAGACCTACACACTGGAACAGCTCGAGAACAAATGCCTCTCATACATCGATACTCTCCCCATGGATATGTTCGTGAAGCGTGACGCCTTCAACTTCCTAGAAAAGCCCTTCATGACGTTTCAGCTTGTGAGTGAGGGGAGGAAGTGGAACATGAACTGTCTCCACCCACACGAGTTCTCTGACAACGTCAGCAGTCTACAAGGGACCTACAGAGAAGCTACAGAGGCTGGCTGCCCCACCGATGTGTGCGGTATCTGCTATGATGGCATTAGGGTTTCCACTGAAAGGATCGACACACGTTCCCCTGCAACTAGCCTTGACGCCTGTGGACACTGGTTCTGTGATAGATGTTGGAAACAACATTTGGTCAACAAACTGCGATCTGGACCTTCTGCCTTCACGTGCCCTGAGTATGGATGCAGTGTAGAGGCAGACTTCCCCACTCTTCTTTCCTTCCTGCACATCAGCGACATCAAGAAGCACATCGAGAGGCAGATGAGTGAGAAGATCAACTGCTCCGCTCAGGCTAAGTGGTGTCCTAAACCTCAATGTGGACGGGCCATTCTTGCAGAAGGACCTCCTATCAGGAACAGAATTATTCCTGTAGTGTGTTCCTGTGGAACAGATCTCTGTTTTACCTGCATGAAGAACGCCCACTGGCCTGCCACATGTGCCCAAGCTAAGGCTTTCCGTGAGAAGGTGATTGCATTGAAGGACTATGTGAACTTTGCAAAGGATGCCTTTCTTGATCCGCTTCCCAATGCTGTACCTGTGAGTGGAAAGAGCTGCCCAAAGTGCAGGCGATTCATCGAGAAGATATCTGGATGTCCAAACATGTCGTGCCCTTGTGGAGCTACGTTCTGCTGGACATGTGTGAAGTTGATAACGCCCTACGAGCATCATAAGTGCGTTGTTGAAGCACAGAAAACTATATTAGTTGAGGAGCATGAACATGGCGCCATGGGGTTAAGAAGAACTCGCTTCTACAGCACTGCACTGAAACACCGTCAACAGCGACTGGCCACCAATATCTTCAAACAGCTCTCTCGAGTTCGAGTCTTGTCCAAACGTCTTGCTGCTGAAGCATGCTCCAGCAAGCGGCTAAGAAATCAGATCGGAGATAATACTCAGGAATTAGATAACAAGCCTGTACATTGTCTAGCTTCTGACTTCCTGAGGCGCATGCTCAGTGTCAAACTCGAACTTCATCACGTGATCGAAAACGTTGCCATAACAATGGATGACATGTGTCCAGGAAGTCACACAGATGACCTTAGGAACACCCTGACTAGAATGGAGTCGTGCGCAGACACCATCGAAACCACTTTAGAAATGGCACTTTCACTGTCTGCCTCCTTTTTTGTAGACAAACTGTTGATTTGCCAGAGGAATTCCCGGTTTAATATCGCTCGTGTCGCACAGCTCATGAAGTAATCCTTTTTCAGAGACCTTGCTCCAGCTGTGTAAAAATTACGTCGAAGTCTCGTCATATGGAAGTGTGTGACCTCAAGCTGACCTGACTCTTTGAAATGTTCACTCATCACGATTTAACTTTGAAGTTTGATTTTCAAAACGAAAAAGGCCATTTACCTCGCTAGTCAATACAGCCGAAGCTGTTTTAACATATCAGAGGCGTGAAATTTTTTACAAGATTGAACATGATAACGTTTCTTGTTTTGTTAGCGCCATACCAGTGTTCATGGCTTTCACCAAAGCTATAAACGTGCAAGACCTGCGTCATTTCGGGTTCGATTCCTCATGTGGGTACAATGTATATTTCTGGAATATTGCTACAGTGGCGTAAAACTACATTCACTCACTCATTCTTCCACATCAAGCAGCTTACTCGACCTGATAGAGCTGAAATACATTCACTCACTCACACATAGTCACTCACTGATTATTCTCAGTATTTGGGGCGGTGGGGTAGCCTAGTGGTTAAAGCGTTCGCTCATCACGACGAAGACCCGGGTTCGATTCCCCACATGGGTACAATGTGTGAAGCCCATTTCTGGTGTCCCCCGCCGTGATATTGCTGGAATATTGCTAAGACCAAACTCACTCACTCACTCACTCTTAGTATTTGAGTATGTTTACCATTGTTATTCATCTGCAAGTGTCAAATAAATCGTTGTATATCTGAATAATGTGTTTTGATCTTCTAACCTCGCACTGAACTTGGGCGGTGGGGTAGCCCAATGATTAAAGCATCCGCTCGTCACGCTGAAGACCCAGGTTTGATTCCCCTCAAGGGTACAATGTGTTAAATCCATTTCTGGTGTCCCCCGCTGTGATATGTTGCTGGAATATTGCTAAAAGCGGCGTAAAGCCACACTCACTCACTCACCATGACCTCATAAGCGGATTGATTAAGTGGCCGTGAGTGTTAGTTCTTTGGTAGCCTAGTGGTTAAGCGTTCGCTCGTCACGCACAAACCTCGTCACGCTGGAATACTGCTAAAAGCGGCGTAAACCACAACTAACTCACTCACTCACTCATGTACATCTGTCTCAACACCAGGTTCATTAGGTAGAGAAAGATATTTACACAAAGACAAAGTTCAATCTCGATCGTGCGTTTATGTCATCCTCAAACATTCCCCTCACAATGTTGTGTCTGTCGCTTGCCTCCAAGGTGAGGGGTGGAGTGGGTACAGACTGGTGTCGCATTCAAAAGAGGAATTGCGTAGGCTACACGTTACAAACGAACACTTCGCTCTTCTAGTCAAATAGTGGAGCACAAACATCTATGAATTCATCTTTTCAAAACGTGTGTCACAGCTTCCCACAAGTGACATTTCCAATCACCATGATTCATAAAAAACCATACTGTCATAACTTGAGTATTCATACAAGAATATAAATTTCCACAAGACGTACTTTGAGGGAACATCTTCATTTCAGTTAGAATACATCTACAGTGCACCCTGGTTATAATGGAACCCTGGTTATAATGCCACCCTGGTTATAATACCCCTGGTTATAGTGCCACCCTGGATATAATGCCATGTTTTTGCCAGAACGGTTATCCTGCCTATATATAATACCCCTGGTTATAATGCCAACCTGGATACAATGCCATGTTTTTGCCAGAACGGTTATCCTGCCTATATAATACCCTGGTTATAATGCCACCCTTGATATAATGCCATGTTTTTGCCAGAACGGATATCCTGCCTATATAATACCCTGGTTATAATGCCACCCTTGATATAATGCCATGTTTTTGCCAGAACGGATATCCTGCCTATATATAATGCCCCCTGTTATAATGCCACCCGGGATATAATGCCATGTTTTTGCCAGAACGGACATCCTACCTATATATAATGCCCCTGGTTATAATGCCACCCTGGATATTATGCCATGTTTTTGCCAGAACGGATATCCTGCCTAAATATAATGCCCCTGGTTATAATGCCACCCTTGATATAATGCCATGTTTTTTTCCAGAACGGATTTCCTCCCTATATAATACCCTGGTTATAATGCCAAACTGGATATAATGCCATGTTTTTGCCAAAACGGATTTCCTGCTTATATCATACCCTGGTTATACTGCCAATTACACTGGCTGCATCATTCGTGACCAACTCGTGTTACAAGCCGAATAGCGACTCGTGCCCCTCTGGAAGGATTTCATATTGGCGCACGAACATCAGAACTACTTTAAACAAGAACGATAACTCTATCCCTGTCTGATTCCAATGTTTCTAAAAATCACAGAAGCACATGTACATTGTATTGCTAGGTTGTTTTTTTTTGTTTTTTTTTACTTATTTATTTTAAAGAATTAAACCTCTTTGATACAACTAAAAGGAGTAAAACATATTTGTTAAAGACATATTCAAATGTAATTATTACCAGCTGTTCACCTTATATTTCCAATTATGTTAATTTTCTTAATGGGGCTTAATCATGACTAATGGGAATTGTTTTATTGAATATACAATTATTTTTTAAAAAAAATTCAGCTACATTAAATCCCAAAGCAGATACTCAAAAATTTTCAAAATATTTCTCAAACTGAACATTCGTGTAACCTTGCTGTCACACCACTGGTGGAATTTCAAATCAATTCGCTGAAAAAAATATGAATGACCAAAAACAGTCAGACTAAAATATCCCCAGAGCTATGAAATATAAGCCCAATGTTAAAGATTAAGGTTGATTAGTTACATACAAATACGATATTATTGTTTTGAACCTGGTAGCGATTATAATTACATTTCCTAAAATTGGTCGAAGCGCACGTACAATCTCAATAACAAGCCCGCAAGATCGTCAGAAATACACTCAGTTGGACCCATGAGAGCAGTTATGTCAACAAACGCACGTGCGTGTATTTGAATCTCTCACCGTCAATCGCATGATTCTTATTAAAAACTTCATAATAGGCAGCAAAATCCTTTTAGCTACGTTCTTTGTACTTTCAAAATGACGACATATATTTTTCACGATTCTTTAAACAATGACATAATGCCATAAACGATTTAAGTACTCGGGATTATTTTTATCAAAGCACCGCGCTCATTTACTCGCGTTCTGATTGGTATGTCGTATTTTCGCACATAACAAGTATCTTGGAGTATTCTTGGAGGTTACGGAAAGGGGCGAGTGGTGACGAATGTGGCTGC